CAGCCCCTCAGCCTGTCCTGCGAGTGCAGTGGGATCCCCTTCCCCACCCTGACCTGGGAGAAGGATGGTAGGGTTGTGTTCATATCTTAATGCCTGCCCACACAGATATCACCTAGCAGAACTACCAGCCGGCTCCACAGCCGGGCTCTGAGCCAGTGGGCTACATGGTTCCAGGCTTGGTTTCAAAGCAGGGGATACACATTGATTTAAGCCAACTTCAACTTGGTGTGGGCTTGTTTCTATGATTCCTGCATGTCTAAAAGAAGTTGCCCCTGTGGAATGGCTGCATTTGGCTCCTAAGCAGTCTCAGGTTTGTCTCCATGGTTAGAAGCGGGCATTTCAGTGTAACCACTATCCGATCCTCTATACCAGCAGTTTTCAAATGTTTTTTCTCATGACCCAGTTGAAGAAAATCGTTGATGCCCACGACCCAACATAATTTGATGGAGTGTGGGTGCCAGGGTGGGGCTGAGGAGGAGAGCTTTGGAAGGGTCCCAGCTTTGGGGAAGCTCAGGGCTTTGGCAGGAGGGACTGACCTTGAGTGGTTCCCAGTCAGTAGTGCAGCAGGGGTGCTAAGGCAGCTCCCTGCCTCTCCTGGCACTGCAGAACATGCTGCACCCCAGAAGCAGCCAGCAGCAGGTTCCCAGCCGTGGGAGTGCGGAGCTAGTGCTCAGGGCAGAGGCAGTGCATAGAAGTCTGTGAGCTCTGTCCCCGTCTCCCCCGACTTAGGAGCTGGGCCTGTTGCCAGCCACTTCTGAGGCAGTGCAGTCTGCAGGGCCAGGACAGGCAGGTAGCTGCCTTAGCGGATCCCCCTGAAGCAATGAGCCCCAATGCTTGATATTCCATGACCCAGAGCTGTGTCATGCCCTGTGGTTTGGAAACTACTGCTTTATAGGACAGTGCACCTGGGAGCCAGCCCTGCCCGGAGTCCTAAGGAGAGACTTGGGTTTTCTTCTCCACCCTCCATTCAGGTACACCCCTGCCCCTGGACCTCGGGCGTCCCGCACCTATCTCCGCAGGAGGGAGGCTGCTGTACATTGAGAAGGTGCAGATGGCAGATGAGGGATCTTACACCTGTGAGTGCAGCAATGTGGCTGGCAGCAGCAGAAGGGAACACCGGCTGGAGGTGGATGGTGAGTCAAAGAGGTGCTGGGGGAGGAGTGAGGGGGCTGAATCGCTGGGTGGAGAATAACAACCAGTGCTCCTGTGTAAGTCAGTCGTTGTTAATGGTTTTAGGGAGCACAAGTGACTGAATGGTTCATACAGAGTCTCTCATCTCTATTGCCAAGGTGGGGCCCTCAGAGACTCCACGTCCCAGCATGCTGTGCTCCATCTTGGTCCAAGTGGCCAGGTCACACGTGGTATGTTGGACTTGTGGTCTCCTGCTGAGGAGGCCAGCTATGATCTGCAAACTCAGTGCTGCCCTTGGGTTCCTGGCAAGCAACAGATGTGCTCTCAGCTGGGCAGTCTTTGGGAGCTATTGGTCCAAAATAACCATGTAGTGTGGCGTATTTAAAGACAGTTGGTGATCTATGAATCCTACTCCAGGGTCTGGATTGTCTTAGTCCTTGGCATGACTCATAACTGTCCCTGGCAGGTTCGCTTGCTGCAGTTGACATCCTCTTGCAGGAAACCCAGAAGGAGTTGAAACCCACCAGGTCTGTACCATGTCTCTGCTCTGTGCTCTTCTCCCCTGCAGTTCTGCCTGTGATCAAAGGCAGCGGTGAAGCCCCAAAGAAGGTTTCTGTGACCAAGGCCAGTGAGATTACACTAGAATGCGAAGCCACAGGATCGCCACTGCCAACAGTCACATGGGTGAAAGATGGGCAGCCAGTGTTGAACGGGGAAGAGTTTCTTCTTAAGGACAAGGGGTGGAAGCTGCATATTCAGAGGGCACAGGTCAGCCATGCAGGCCGCTACAGCTGTCTGGCGGCGAATGCAGTTGGACAGGCGGAGAAGAAGTTTGAGCTTGCTGTGCATGGTAAGGATGCAGGCAGCAGCTCTGCAGTTGGTTCTGGGACCTTGGGGGGGATGGGTTTGAGAGCGGGGTGAAGCAAATGTTGATGATGCATGAGGAAATCTGCCATGCATGTGATAGAGCATTAGGGGTGAGTGAAGTTCCGTGTAAGCTCCAGGCCTTGTTTGTGCAGCTAACAGCAAGGGGGGATAAATGACAAGGAGAGCAACAGGAGCCAAAGTCATCTGCTTTCCCTGGACCAAGATTTCAAACAGTGGCATTCTCAGAGAGCCTGGGTCACTTGTCTGGCTGCCTGTGCACTTGCCACCCCACCAATTCCCATTTGGATGTGCAGATCGATTGGCAGCTACGTTGGCAGTGAGCTGCTCTGTGGCACAGATCTGGGTCCTGAAGGCACCATGGGGGCAGGCATATTTTTTGGGCATACCGCCTGGTGCCCGTTAGAACTTGGGTCCATAGTTGGAAGGCAGGGTAAGTGGGATTTCCCAGGACCTCAGTGTGCTTATTTTCCTGCTTCCGTGGCGACGGCTTTGTCCATGAAAGATTATCCCTTTGTCTCTCTAGTTCCCCCTGAGCTTGTTAGGGGAGCAGGGCCAGTGACCAACATCACTGTCTCTTTGCATGGCGCCCTGACTCTCATCTGTGAGGCTTCAGGCATCCCATCCCCAACGGTCAGCTGGTCCCGAGAGAACTCTCCCATCATCTCTGGCGAGCGCACACGCCTGCTTTCAGGTGAGGCAATAATAAGTGAGCGTTGCTGGCGGATTATTCTGGCTGGCAGGGTTCGGCTATGGGGGAACTGACCAGAAAGAGCTCTAGTGAAATAAACTATTCTGTGATAGCTCCTGGGAGCTATGGGGGAAATGACCAGAAGAGCTCTAGTGGAATAAACTATTCTGTGATAGCTCCTGGGATAACACAGGGACATCCATAGGACCATTCAGGGCAATCATTCTGGACCCAGCACTTCAGGGGGATGCAGATCCGTAGGGTCCAGGGTGTCCTGATTAGCAGGGGGCCTGGCGCCTGCCCCTGTCCTCATCAGCGGCAGTGGGGGAAACAAACTAACTTGGCTCTAGCCCTCTCCACTCTCTTGGCTCCCAGCATTGCTCAAGAGTAGAGACTGGGGGAAAAGCGGAATGGGGGCAGGGCAGAGGCTTGAGCTTGGGGGAAGGGTTGAAGGATCCATTCTTTATGAGAAGACAGCCACCCTAGTGGAGGTCCAGCAAGAGCTCGTCCCCGACACACACACACACACACACACACACACACACACAGTCTCTTGTTTCCACTAGGACTTTGTGCTGCGATAGGTCTCTGATTATAAACACACTGCTTGTTCCCTAGTGCAGAGGATCAGCATGTGGCATGCTGCCCTGGGAGCAGCTTGAGATGGGAATTGTGATTTGGAGGGCGAAAGTCTCTTCTCTACTCTCCTTGTGCAGGGTGGATGGTAATGCTACTGGCCTTCACTGGTAGTTGGTGCCTAGTTACTATGGAAACTGTAGCTATACAGAGAGAGACCCTAGGCCGTAGTGGTAGGGTAGACCTGCCCTCTGTGTGGTCTGTGAAACTACTTGTAAGGAAAGAGCACATGAGAGGACGCCATGCTTGGACGGACTCCCTGCTGGGGTTAGTGGACACTGCTAGTTGGCGGCACTCAGAGCACTGAGGTACCTGTGTAGACCCCTCATATGTCCTTGTAACACTGAGGAGGGTGTCCAGTTGCTACGGTGATGAGTGAATGAGAGACGTATGACAGGCCAGCTCAGGCTACAGCCGTGGGTTGTCACTGGCAATGCAGTTTGTTTGGTGATGAGTGAATGAGAGACCTACAACAGGCCAGCTCAGGCAATTTCTGAGACTTGCTACAGCCCTGGGCACAGCCATGGGTTGTCACTGGCAATGCAGTTTGTTCTTTGCCATCTGGGCTTTTCCCCTTTGTTTCCAGGTGGATGGATTCTGAGGCTAACGCGCATACGAGCGCAAGATGGAGGCCTCTATTCCTGCATAGTGAGCAATGTCGCTGGGGAAGCTAGGAAGGATTTCAATGTGGAGGTCGTAGGTACGGATGAAGCACTGATCCAGTAACACTGTAGGTACCTGGGTTATGCTCTGGGACCTGTCTCTGTTTCCTTTGTCCCCTTGGCTTTTGATGCTCTTCCTGCTACAAGGTTTCCAGTGGGGATTGTAGAGGAGAAGCTGAGAGCAATTCACACAAACCCTTGGAATATGGCCCTTCATGTACTCCAATCTCCAAACTCTCTGCTCCAGGGGCTCTCTAGGGGTATGTCTAGACTATATGCCTCTGCCGACGGAGGCATGAAAATTAGACTACCCGACATAGTCAATGAAGCGGGGATTCAAATATCCCCCACTTCATTAAAATAAAAATGGTCGCTACGCTGTGCCGGCTCGGCTGATCGTTGGCACAGCGTGGCAGTCAAGATGCGGATTGGTTGACAGGGAACACCTTTGTCGACCGCTCCTGTAAACCTCGTTTCACTAGGCATAAGAGAACGGTCAACAAAGGCATTCCCTGTCAACTGATCTACGTCTTGACACGCACACTGTGCCGACGATCAGCCGAGCCGGCACAGCATGGCGGGCATTTTTATTTTAATGATGCCGGGGATATTTAAGTCCCCGCTTCGTCAGGGCTGGATTACCCAATAGGCAGACTAAGCACATGCTTAGGGCACCAGCAAAGGAGGGGCACCAAAAAAAATGAGATTTTACGATATAGTATTGTTTTTATTTTGAATGATATATGGGGAGGCACCATAATCTTATCAGTGTTTAGGGCCTCTAAAAGTCTTAATCCGGCCCTGTTGAGTAGTCTAATTTACATGCCTCTGTCGGTAGTCTAGACATACCCTAGGATGTAGCATCTTGTTGGCCTTGGTGTGGTCAGACTCCTGGAGAGAAGATCATCCTGTCTTCCCCCCCCCCATCCGTGTTTTTCTAGGTCCTCCCAGCATCGAGAACGCGGGTGAGGAAGATAGAGTTGAAGTGCCCGAGGGTCAGTCTGTCAGCTGGTCCTGCATAGCAAGAGGTGAGTATCACAGGTCCCAGCTGAGAAAAACAAGGGGGAGTTTTAACTCTAGTGCTCTGGGTGGGTAATTGAGACGTAAAGCTGTGATAATAGAGCGCAGGACAGAGACCTGCCTCTCTTCCTACCTCTGCAGCTGACTTGCTGTGTGTGGCCTTGGTCCCTGTGACCCTGCTGCCTTTTGATCTGAGTATACCTCTCTGGGGGTAGGGGAGTGTCTCTCATGTTTGCACAGCCCCGAGCACCTCAATCCTGATTGGGGCCGGGAGGCTCCAACATAACACAGATGACTCAAAAAACAAACCTACCTGGCCTATGTGTTAGCTCTGTCCATTTACATTAGTTACTCCCAAGGGAAGTGTGCGGCTTTGTACTGATGTCACAAAAGGGACTTGAAATAAGAGTTGCCTGCATTTTCAGGGCAGCGTCCTCAGACCCTGCTTTACCTCCTCCATGCCTCCCTCCATTCCCCCTGTCTCTGGAAAACCCAATGGCATTCTACATGGTCCGGTGCCAAGTGAGTAGCCCAGAGATCTGTCACTGGGTTTCTCATGCCTCTACCTCTGAGGCATCCTGGGGCTGCGATTCAGATACATGCTGGTGCAACAGCAGAGATCAGCTCAGGCTATTTGGTCTCTAGACTGGATTCCTGGGGATCTGGAAGGGATTTGGATTGTAAGGCAGGAGGAGAGTATTGGCTTCAGGCTTTGTTCTTGCTGCTGCTGCTGTAGGGCCTGTCTTCGTTAGCTATCAGAGCAGGGCATAAGATGGTCCAGCCATTCCCAGATGGAGCTAGATTTCCTTTCGCATTTCTTTCCTGGAGGGGGGCGGTAAATAGTTACCCTATCCATGCCCCCTCTGTGCCCATTTGGGACCATTTTTATTTCTATGCATGAGGCACAGACACCACAGTGATGGGCACGCCAACTGGAATACATTTTCACTTTGCTGCCCAGTATCTAAGCAAAGGGTGGGCTCTTTTTAAGTGACTTAGCCATCCATGTGCATTTGATTCCTTTTTCTCATTAGGGAAAATAACTTGTCCATGCACTGGCTCCCATGTACTGTAGAGCTGGCTGCATTGGAAATGCCTGGAGAGGGAGGACCTACCTTGACACCAACATACTGTTGCCACATTTTTTATTTTTTCTTCTGGTTACGAACAGAGGAAGATGCCTGTTCAGTAACCCTTCATAATCCATGTGCATTTGATTCCTTTTTCTCATTAGGGAAAATAACTTGTCCATGCACTGGCTCCCATGTACTGTAGAGCTGGCTGCATTGGAAATGCCTGGAGAGGGAGGACCTACCTTGACACCAACATACTGTTGCCACATTTTTTATTTTTTCTTCTGGTTACGAACAGAGGAAGATGCCTGTTCAGTAACCCTTCATAGACAGTGTAAAACTTTGGCATTGGGTAAGGTACAGATGAGAGATCCTGTCTCACCATAGGAAAACCTCTTGGCCATATGTAGGGCTGGAAGCAGGATGGCAGGTTTGCAGAAATGTTGGTGATGCCCAGAATGCCCAAAGCTTGCAACCTTCTCCCTACCCAAACTCTCCCCCGCCACACACCTGCGTAAGGCTCTGGGAGAGAGTTTGAGAGGTATGGGCTTTAGGAGGGAGTTTGGGGGCTGGGGCAGGAGATTGGGATGCAGGCTCTGGGAGGGGATGGGGCACAGCAGGATGGATGGGACATGCCGTGCTTACCTGGGGCACCCCCTCTGTCAGTAGCTCCTACATGGGAATCCCGGGGGTCTCCATGCGCTTCTGGCCACAGACACCACCCTTGGCAGCTTATTGGCTACAGGGGCGCTCAAGTTGGGGGAAGTGTGCAGAAAGAAACACCACCACCACCCTCCCCAGGCTGCAGGGATGCACAGGAACACGCTCCCCTATGCAGGGGCTGCAGTGGTGTGCCAGCAGCTGCTCTAACCTTACTGCACTGCTTGTATTAGTGGCAGGAGGCACCTGGGCCCTTGTAAATCACCTGGGGGTGGCAGGTGGGACCAGGGGACACACAGGAGGAGCACACGAGGGCAACTAATGAGGTTGTAGGAGAGACCCAGCCCCAAACTTTACCAGAGCTGGGTCCCAGGTCACGAATATTCCTAGTGCCCAGGCACCACGGCCCCATAGAACTAGGGATGTAAATGGGTAACCAGTTAACTGGTTACCCAGTAAGCATCTCCATTACTGGGTGAAGCTTACTGGTAACCAGTTAACTGCTGCTTGCCTGTGCCGGAGCAGCCCCTGCCATGTGCTGCAGGCAGGGGGCTGCTCCAACCTGGCTGGGCCCATCACACCTTGTCGCAGGCCGGGAGCCAGCAGCCCCTCAGCTCTGGCAGTTGGCAGCCCCCTGGTTCACTGCGTAACTGATAGAATTTTGGTTGGTTACACAGTTAATATATTTTTACATTTTTTACATCCCTACATAGAACTCGCTGCCCATGCCTGGAAGAGACTCCTGCATCATTGAGTCCAGGCCCTGCTATCTGCATCATACAACCCCGTTAGAAACATATCAAGCTCCATCTTCCAGCTAGCCCAGTTTTGGATTCCCACTACTCCTAGTGGGAGGCTGGTCCAGAACATCGCTGCTCCAGGGGTTGGAAAGCGCCTTCTAATTCCCAGCCTGAATTCATACAGGGCCAGTTTATCCCCCATTGCTTTTGGGGCACATCCAGCACTCTGCCAGCTGCCGAGGCTTTCTCAAACCCTAGTGTGGCTGGCGAGAAAACATTTCAGAACTGTGCTCCAGGTTTAAGGCACTGGTCTGGCTGGCTCCAGCATGGCTGAGCGTCCATGTGACAAACTGCAGCCAAGGCTGAGCCTTGCTTTCTCACCTCTTTCCCCTTTTGCCCTACAGGCAATCCCAAACCAGAGATTACTTGGTTAAAAGACGGCAGCCCTGTGCTTAGCAGAGACGGCTATGACATATCCCCGGACAGATCTGTCTTGCAGATAAACCAAACCACCCTTTCCAACGCAGGCCGCTATTCCTGCGTGGCCTCCAATGCCGTGGCTGATAGAACCAAACACTATCAGCTCAGTGTTCTAGGTAAGGACAGAGCAGAAGCATGCTGTGGGCATTCTCAGATCGGGTCTGGGGGAGACGGGATTCACAGCTATGACCATGTTCCTTCTGGGTCTGATCCAGGGTGGTGCTGAGCTCTCACAGCTTCTACAGAGTTCAGCGTGGGCACTGGTCTTTTAGCAAGAAGTTCCCAGCACCCTACAGAGCCAGGGGCCTTGAGCAATTGGTTGAGCCAGGGGAATGGTTGTGTCCATGTTTCTGATGGAGCCATGTTAGCAATGAGCATGTAACCGTGGCCATTGGTACAGTTTCCCTGGCCATTGTGCTCTAGGCCTTATTTCACTTCCACTGGCATTGGGTGGGGTATTACCCGCCCCAGAGTTTCTGTCTACATCAGTGCTTGAAGTTCTGTTTGCACCACTTTAGTGCCCACTCGGCCAGCTGGCAGCCGGAGGTGCTGAGCGCTGCACACTCTGTGGTGGGCGGAGCGAAGTGGGGGAGAATCTCTGCCGTGATGGGATGCTAATGCCAGTCTTGGAAATTGGATACATGAGCTCTCTCCATGCAAAAGCTATCTCTGTGTCCCACAGTCAGTCCCACGTTTCCTGGAGCGAGCCACCAGAGTGCCACGGACGATGTTACCGTAGTGATCAATAGCCCAGTGTCCCTGCCCTGTGGGGCACTGACCCATCCTTCCTCCACCGTCACCTGGCTGAAGGACGAGGTTCCCTTCCAAGCATCCACAAATGTCCGGTTGCTCTCTGGTAACGTATCAATGTGAGCAAATGGGGTTGCTCAGACCCATCCTTGACTTCACATAACTGCTTCCTGATTGGTCACACGGGCTCGGGGCTGGCTATGGAGCCTTTTGCATCCGTGGCCTGGGTTTGAATCTGGTTCAGCGTGAGAATAGGCCAGGGTTCTGAGAGGATCAGGGGCCATGTCCTTACTGGATGGGTGCTGACATTCCCAAACCCGTTGTCGGAGCTGGTGCCTGCTGGGGCTGGGTCCGCAAGACTCCAGCGAGTTTATAGGCCTGCGGGTTGTGCTGCAGACGTGGCCTTTGCAGCTCAGAGTCAGGGCACCAGGGCCCTCTGAGGAAGATGCTGCTGCCCAGCCTGTGTTTGGACAGGCAGCCGCAATTTGTGGTGAGCAGCCGCTCTTTTCATCCCCTGTGCTGCGTTGTGTTGCAACTCAGGGGTTGCTAGTTGGGAGGATTCCCCTCCTTGTTTCTTAACTGAATGACTAAGGGCTGCATCATGGAAGGTCCTTTTCCCTGACCAGGTGGCAGGGGGCTCCAGATTCTGAATGTCCAGGAAGAGGATGCTGGCAGGTACACCTGTGTCGTCACCAGTGAGCTCGGGGAGGCAGTGACGAGCTATGAAGTGAGGGTCCTTGGTATGTACGAAGCCCCTCTCTAAAGCACTTGCCAAGGCACTGTGTTTCTAGTACTGCTCAGACCTGGCCCATGGCTGCTTTTTTCCCTTCTGCACCATGCATGCTCTGTGTGCCTGACGTTTCCACAGCTTTTATGATAGTACTGTTTGGGTCCCAAAGGGGATCTTGTCCTAGCTGCCCTTTGCTAAAGCTCTCAGTGTGTCCTCCTGCTGCTGCTTGGGAGGGATATGTTCTATGGTAGATCAACATTACCTACGCGCTGAGGGTACGTCTAGACTGCGGTGCTGTTTCGGGATACCGGAAGTATCCTGAAATAGCAACACCGCATCTTTAAGCTCCCACTATTTCCTGAAATAATGGGTGTGCTATTCTGGCATCTCTGGAACAAGGGATTTGTCGGAATAGTGCCTTCATTTTTAATTTGGAGCTGTCTACACAAAGCCAAATTTCAAAATAAGCTCTTCCAACCTAGACTTGGAATAAGCTACGCAACTTGCGTAGTGCAAATTGCGTAGCTTATTCCTATAGAAGGGTGCTGTGTAGATGCACCCTCAGAGTGCTGTTTATATCCAGTAGCAACACCCATCCTTCCTTGCTGGCCACTTCTTTTGCCTCCTGCTCCCACTCAAGGTGTCATCCATCCCATGTGCTGCAACAGGCTCTGGCTTAGCTTACGTTACACATCTGCCTTCCCGGCCTTCTGAAGAGCCGTTCCTCTTCATGGATGTCAGGGAAGGAATCAGCAAAGTCTTTTATCCTCCGATGTTCCACAATAGCTTGTCCGGTGTCTGTGGACATAATATAAGAATGGCTACACTGGGTCAGATCAAAGATCCATCTATCCCTGTATCCTGTCTTCTGACAGTGTCCAGTGTCAGTTGCCCCAGAGTGAATGAAAAGAACAAGTGAGCATAAAGGGTACGTCTAAACTACATGGCTCCATCGACGGAGCCATGTAGATTTGTTGTTTTGGCAAAGGTAAATGAAGCTGCGATTTAAATGATCGCGGCTTCATTTAAATTTACATGGCTGCCGCGCTGAGCCGACAAACAGCTGATCAGCTGTTTGTCCTCTCAGCGCGCTAGTCTGGATGCTCCTGCGCCGACCTGAAAGCCCTTTATCGACCTCCCCGTTATGCCTCGTAGGATGAGGTTTACCGGGGAGGTCAATAAAGGGTTTTCATGTTGGCAGGGGAGCGTCCAGACTGCCCCGATCTGCCGACAAACAGTTGATCAGCAGAGTGGGGCAGCCATTTAAATTTAAAAGGGGAGCGTCCAGACTAGCGCGCTGAGCGGACAAACAGCTGATTAGCTGTTTGTCGGCTCAGCGTGGCAGCCATGGAAATGGAAATGAAGCTGCGATCATTTAAATCGCGGCTTCATTTACCTTTGCCAAAACAACAAATCTACATGGCTCCGTCGACGGAGCCGTGTAGTTTAGACGTATCCAAAGTGATCCCTCTCCTGTCACCCATTCCCAGCTCAGTCAAGCGTAGGGGCCCTGGTATGAGTTGGCAGCTGGTCTGCCTGCATGGCACTGCCCATGTGGCTAGACCGAAGGAGGGGTAGGGGTAGGCGTGGTAGGAGATGGTTCTCTTCTCTTGATTCTATTCATGTGTTGTGGTTCCTAGTTCCTCCTTGGATTGCTAAAGATGATTCCTTGGGGGAATCTGGCGTGAAGGAGGTGAAAACCAAGGTCAACAACACCCTGACACTAGAATGTGAGTCCTGGGCTGTGCCTGAGCCGACCATACAGTGGTACAAGGATGGGCAGGTGAGATTGCTAAAGAAAAGGCAGGGAACTGCTGGTGTCACTAGTGACACCTCATAACCATTTCTAAAGAGTCTGGAGGGGGGGGGGGGGGGGGGGGTGGGTCAGTGAACTTCAGTTGGCCAGAATCAATAGGGCTACAGTGGGAAAGGCTGGGGTCTGCAGTGAAGGGCTGTTTTCATGCTGGGCAGCTGTTCTTATTTGGTCAGGCTTCTGGGGTCGAAAGGAAATAGGGATTGGCCAGGTTGGCCCATGCCCACTGTTAGAGCAGGGAGCTGCATTGCAGCTGGGCATGGTCCTTGCCTAATGATGCCTAGAAACAACTAAAAAAGCCCCTTTATTTGTCCCTGAGCAGGTGTGCTCTCCAGAGCTGTCCCCTGGTGACTTCTGACACCAGGGCAGGCAGGGAGGAGCCATTCTTTGCTCTGCATTCTGTTTTCATTCAGATTCATGATCTTTACCCTGATTGGCATGAAATGATGCGCTTGCTTAAGGCACTGAAACCCTCTGCAAGATTAAGAGCCAGGTAGCTATTGTTGGAGGAAGAGCAGTGTGCAGCTGGCTGGGAAGGGAAGGCGCCATTTGTAAGACATGGGGGATGGATTTCTGTATTTTCTGGTGGCTGTTTTCAGGACTGTGATCTTGGCATTTAATCGCCACGAGACAGGTTTAACTCTGCCTTCTCCTCCCTCTCCCCTGTATGCTTATGCTGGGTGTCTCCTTGCCAGCCCCTGGAGAGTGACAGCCGTCTACAAGTTCTCAGCGATGGGCAGCTTCTTCGGATCAGACCCACCCGTGTCTCGGATGCAGGGCGCTACACCTGCCTTGCCGCCAACCCAGTGGGTGAAGATGATAAGGACTTCAGGGTGCACATTCAAGGCGAGTTGCTGGTCGCAGAACCAGGGCATCCCTGCTGAGCCAAGCTGCAAAGTTGAGCCCGGAAGCAGAAGGCATAAAGGGGCTAAACCCCTGCAGTGCAGGAAGTGGAGCGCTAGACGGGACAGGTGGGAGGATGATCACTATGGAAGTGTATTCCGCCCACAGTGCAGGTTGATTGCTGCTGCTTGCTCTCTTTCAGTGCCCCCCATGTTCCAGAAGCAGGGAAATCCCAACACGGCCTTCCAGACCCGCTACCAGGAGGAAGACCAGGATAGAAAAGTGATGGAGCACCGGGAGGTGACCATCAACAGCCCGGCCTCCCTGTATTGTGACACGAATGCCATCCCACCCCCGAAATTCACCTGGTACAAAGATGGAGAGCCCCTCTCTGCTGCGGAGAGGGTTTTAGTATTGTTAGGTAACACGCTTGGCTTATTGATGCAAACTTCAGAGTGGCCAGAGAACTCCAAAAGCTTCATTTAACTACTTGACAGCTGCCAGGCACCTAACATGCTCCCAGCAGTCCAGGTGTGGCCAGCTAGAGTCTGCCAGATGTGCTCAGGCGATGCACATCTGCTGTGCTAACAGACATTCCAGGTATGCCCCTGTCAAGGCTGTGCCCCACTCTGGCACAATAAATGCAGAAGTGGGGGCCCACAAAAGCACCCCAAAACCTGCTCTCTGCAGGCTTTGGTACAAAAGCTTCCCCAAAATCCTAATACCCGGACTTTGCATAATACAAACTGCTGCCACCACCCAAGTATTCCGAAGAAACCAGGGAAGAGGTCACTTGGGAAACCTCAGCCCTAAAGTAAAACCAGGACACAAAAATTAACCAATACCAGGTTAAATAAAATAGAAAGAACTTTTATTATCAAGACAAAACCCCAGTTACAAGCATAGTTGGTTGGAATGGCTAGAAGGTAAGAGCCACCAGTTAACATACTCATGGAGGATTCCGCCATGGGCCAAAACTTAGTTACAAAAAGAGAGGAAAACCCATTTCTAACAGCACAGACATCAGATCCAAATTCCCAAAACAGAAAACAATAAAGCCTGATGGATTTATCTAGACTTTACCCTACTTACACATTATGAAGAGTCTTTTTCTTGGAGAGAGACAGGTCTTCTGTCTCCCTCAGTATCTAGAGAGCAAACTGGCTCAGACAAAGGAAGGAAAAGTTAAAAATTCCTTTATCTCAGTTTGAAATCCCTACCTGCATTACTGTTGGTTGGCCGCTACCTGGCTAGGTACAGGGGACATAGTTAACCCCTTAGGGTATGTCTACACTACCACCCTAGTTCGAACTAGGGTGGTTAATGTAGTCAATCGAAGTTGCAAATGAAGCCCGGGATTTAAATATCCCGGGCTTCATTTGCATCTTGCCGGGTGCCGCCATTTTTAAATCCCCGGTAGTTCGGACTCCGTGCCTCGTGTAGCCGCGGGCACGGAGTCCGAACTACCGGGGATTTAAAAATGGCGGCACCCGGCAAGATGCAAATGAAGCCTGGGATATTTAAATCCCGGGCTTCATTTGCAACTTCGATTGACTACATTAACCACCCTAGTTCGAACTAGGGTGGTAGTGTAGACATACCCTTAGTCCCCAGGCTGCTGGCCATCCCTCATGGCTATGACACCCCTGTGGGCATGCACTGTCCTGACTGCCGGATGTTTCAGGTGTGCTCAGCTAAAGGGCACCAATGCCTGTGTTGCCAGATCTTCCAGCATGCCCAGGTGATGTACATGTGCTGTCCAATAGGATGCCCCACTGCATGTTCCAAGTGGCGCGACCTGCTTTGCTGCCAGATATTCAGGCTCTGGTAACATCCCATGAAATGTACGACAGCGGCAACAGGGACGGTGCAGGGGCCAGCAACAGAAATGTGACTGTCCCCCCAATGGGATCTCTCTAGCCATCTGCCTGCCCTCTTCACATCTCCTTGTGTTGCCTTTTTAAAGTGTCTGCTTCCTCCCACTCCCACGGTACGGCACCCTTCTGAGTGCTCCAAAAGGGCCAGATAAACGAGGGTGATTCTACCAGGTTCCAATGCCCTTGGGCCCAGACCCATTAGCTTTGTAGTAGGGTTGTTGGAGTGGGGGACTGGGGGGACATGGCACATTCTGCTACCAAAGTGAGTCGTGATGCTGGCGGCACAGACAGCATGTATGTCCTCAGCGGTTCACTGACCCTGTCCCATGCGCAAAGCAGCTTACTGCTCTAGGTCTCTCTCTAGGGCTGTGTCCAGACTCAGGGGTTTTTTCGAAAAAACTTCACCTGTGTCCAGACTCAAGCCGCGTTCTTTCGAAATTAATTCGAAAGAACGCGGCTTTTCTTTCGATGGCGGTAAACCTCATTTCACGAGGAAGAACGCCTTCTTTCGAAAGTTCCTCTTTCGAAAGAAGGCGTTCTTCAATGTAAATAGGGCTTCTTCGGTTCACTGACCCTGTCCCATGCGCAAAGCAGCTTACTGCTCTAGGTCTCTCTCTAGGAGAAGAGTGCTTTCCTAGGAGCCGTCCCTGTCCCCACCAATGCTCTGTTGCCTGGCAGGTGGACGTATCCTACAGATCCCTGCGGTCAGGGCCGAGGATGCTGGGAGATACACGTGCCAGGCAGCCAATGAGGCAGGAGAGGACTGGCTTCACTACGAGCTGCTAGTTCTGTGTGAGTAGCCACAAGGGCATGTCTAACCAATGGGTCATCCTCTCTGGGTCCTGGCAGAAGGTGGGGTAGCACAGGACCCTGAATGACCTTGTCGAGCTGCCTCCTTCCCCCGGGTCTCCATGGTACCCCCTCCAGCTGGGCTGGGCTGAGCACTCAGAGCTGGCAAGCCCCTGTGAGTGGCGCCCCTCATGTTATTTTCTGAGGTGTGTGGACTGCAGACTCTGGCCCTGGCCCCGAGCTCTTGCTAATCAGGTTCTCTCTGAAGAGCATCACTCTTGGCTATCGTCCACAGCCGGGAGGTGACCTGAGGCGAGTGCCGGGGGCAGGCTCAGAGATCGATCCCTGGGACTCCAGCCAAAGGGGGGGAAAGGCTGGTGGGGAGCACATAATAAATAATCATTCGTATTGCGAGGGGCTGGCCAGACTTAGAGACAGACCCTGCCCCCGACCACACCATTCAGCACGGGAGGGAAATCTGGAGCTCTTGCCACACTTGCATATCTGAGAGAGTGTTGCCTACTAGCTAGAGCAGGATATTAGGAGCCAGGGCTCCTGGGTTCATTTCCCCGCTCTGAAGCTAACTCACAGTGGCCCCAAGCAAGGAGATGACGGACCTCTGCATCAGGACAAAACCTAAGTGCAATGAGTGGGAGGGTAGATGGGCGAATGGGGGGACATGGAAGGGTGATGGCTGTTGAGACCTTGCCTAGTTCAGACCTCTCCTCCCCTAGGAGGTGAACAGCCCGTAACTGACAGGTTCCCTTCTGTCCTAGCTGCCCCCCTAATCCATGGGAACAAGGAGGAGTCGGTAGAAGGGGTGACAGTGGCTGCAAACAGCACGGCCCAGCTGAAATGCGAAGTCACCGGAGACCCAGTGCCTGCAATTACCTGGCTCCACAATGACTTGCCTTTCACTATTAGCCCTCGGCACCAGCTTCTGGAGGGTGGCAGGCTCCTGCAGGTCAGTGTTGTGCCCCACGGGCTCTGCAGTGGGTGAGCAGTGGCAGAACACACCCATCATTGGAGGAGCTGGTGCAGCTTCGCTTCTGTCACCAGTGGGATCAAGCCCTTGGGGAAGGGGGGCCCTGCTGACTTCACCTGCTGCTGCAGAGAGGGGTAGCAGCATAGCGCTGAGCACTGCCTGGGGATTGCTTGCATGTGGCTGAGCTTCCACCTTGGCATTAGGAGGGGACAGGACTCAACTGTGGGCTTGGCTGCTGCTCCAAATCCTGTGACCTCTCCTAGCCATCTCAGAGGGCTCTGCTTTCCCTTTGCAGGTGGCGTCAGTAGAGGTGGCTGACGCTGGCAGCTACGTGTGTGTGGCGGAGAATCAGGAGGGCTCTGCAGAAAAGCGCTTTGTTCTCACAGTTCAAGGTGAGTAATTCAAGTGGACCCTTCTCTAGACGTCCTTCTTGGTCAGTCCCTCGAGTCCTCAATACCCCGGCACCCAGTAGCTCATCACTCTCTCTCGCTCTCTCAATGAGTTTATCCCTAACCTCTGTCTCCATCCATCCCATTTTACTCCCTTACCTTCTTAGCACCACACTGGGAGGCAGACCTAAGGCGTGTGGAGGACTCTGCAAGGGGTCTCATGGGGTTTGAAAGGACTCAGCCTAGATCCTCTAGTGGCTCACCTATGATTATCTAAGCTAGGAAGACAGCGGTAGCTATAACCATCAGATATATGTACAGCACCTTTTCACAAATGGAGGCTCAAACTCTGTGTGCAAAAAAAGGTGGGTGCCAAATAGTTCAGTTATAATTGCACACACAAACCCGGTAAACACAAGTGCAAACGTGAGAGTAGGTCTCGTGTGAACGTGTGGTGCTGCAACTGCATGTTTTGCTGGTGTGGTTTCTGCAGGCAGGTTTGGACCCTTCTGCTTTTTGAACGCTTGCTCCATATAGTTCCTGCTGGTCTGCTCTGTGAGCCTTGGGGCAGGGGTTGTCATCATAGGGTCTGTCTACACTGCAGTTACGTGGTGTGATTGCAGTTTGTATAGACATAGGTGAGTTACCTGTGCTCTAGCTAGCTCATGTTGTCATCAAAGGGTCTGTCTGCACTGCAGTTACGGGGTGTGATTGCAGTTTGTATAGACATAGGTGAGTTACCTGTGCTCTAGCTAGCTCAGGTACCAGATAGGGATGTTAAGTATCAGTTAATTAACTAATCGAGTAGTTGATGGAATTTCCATCGCCTACTTGATTAGTCAAAGGGGAGGGGGCACTCCCGCTGTGGCTCTGCACTTTAAATGGAGTAAGAGCCCACTGTGCTCTGACTACATTTAAAATGCAGAGCTGCGGCGGGGTTAGCTCCTGGGGGCGGCGAGAGCTGAACAGTCCTGGCTCATGCCACCCCTGGGACCTTCATGGCTCTGCCTCCCCTGCCCCCCTCTCCTCCACTGTGGAGATGGTACTGGGGGGAACCGGCTTCTACTCTCCCCTTGCTGCTTCTAGTACAGAGGCAGCGGGAGGGTGGGAGAGAGGGGTGGGAAGCAACTAGTTGAGTACTCACTCGGCTAGTCACTTACAT